ATGTATTAAGGATTTAGGTACATATAAATAAAATATGCTTCTACTTTTGTACATATCTCCATTATATTGTACCTTTACGAAAGAAACTCTCGTACAAGCTCGCAAACCGTACGAAAAGCGTAAACAGAATACGACGAGATCGAACTAGAAAGTGTTCGTCGAAAATCAATTTCTTTTTGTTCCCACCACATTTAATAATTCTTCGACTAATTCCAAAATATAATATAATAAATATTTACCATAGCCTTATTTCGAATTATCATGATTCCCCTACTTCCATCGACAAAGGGTTTTAGGGTTTTGACCAAAGATGGAGGAACAGCAGAATCTGATTCAGATTCGGATTCCGAGACCGATTTGATTTGCATTTCAGACAATTTACCATGGATATTTCGGCTCATTGTACATAGTTTCAATTCGTGGGAATTTTTACAGTAGGGTTTTTTACCGACCAACGATCCATGTTTCTTTCAATTGAACACAGTTTCGTCATCTTCAATCTTCATCCTCCTCAAAAACTGCAAATCAGAACTCGTTCGCCTTAAATTAGTTGATAATGAAGTGAAATACTTAATTTCACTAGCTTTTCAAAGTATATTGTCCGAGCAGTAAAATAAAGTAGATTAAATGGAAAATAAAATAAATTAATTAATTAATAAACGAATGATCAAAGATGTTCGTTCGCACCACTACCATGGTCCAGAAAAGAATCTGGAAAAAGCTAAAGCTATGCATATTAAAGATTGCCCTCTTAGCCACTGTCGCTTTATGCCTGAAAAATCAACAGTAACTTTACATAATTACACGAACATTCCGAAATCCGAAAATAAACTGTATTTTTCTATGTTTCGACGATTTTATTTTATTTTTTTCAATTTCTTTTTTCGGTTAGATGGCAGCTTGTTTGGTTAAGGATAGACTCACCGAATTTCTGTAGTGATCAGCCATCATAGAAATCAACGCAGCTGCAGACGTAGCTACGCGTGGAAGAGATAAATACGCCTGAAATCAAAGACCCGAAAATACAAGTGAAAAAGATTAAAGTAGTATTAAGATGTACAATTATACGTTTAAAAATGAAAAAGTGGGGTAAAGATTGACTGTAATCGGATATACCCTGTTCATTGTGTAAAGGGCTTCCACCATTTCCAAAGATCGATTTCTTACAGCATCGGCAACCTGTGGATTGCAATCCAAACCGATGTTTTTTCGTGATTTTATTGTTAATAACTAAATTTATCCTTACGAATCAGATTTCTAAGGAAGGTAAATTTAGGAAACGAATTCAAGCAGTCAACTATGCCAATCTTGGTTAAACGAATCGAGTGTAAATTCGAACATACCTTTTCCCAATCTTTACCGTTCTTGTAGTAAGAGTTGTAATAACGAGTTAGCTCTTTCACGGTCCACTTAGGCCCAAGTTTGTCAGCCAAATTTCTTCTCTGCGTTTTAAAGAAGAAAAAAACGAAATGATTTTTTTTGTTTAAACAAGAATTAAGACTACAAGTATCGTTAAAATCACGATTCGGATATCTCGTGAAAAAACTATCCAAGGAAATTTCGGAAAGACACTTCTATTTATCAACATTACATGTATAAAAAACGAAATCGGAAATAATAGCTTCAACGAAAAGAAGAGAGAGAAGTGACGTCTGAATCGAACTGGAAACACGAAAAATAACAGTTCACCGAAAGGCGAAAACTAACCCTGCTGATGCTTCTTTGAGCACCATCTCCAGCTTTGGTAAGAGATAATTTAGGGATCGAAGAACAGCGGTTATTCACACTTCTACACTTTCTTGGGAGCACCATTATCTGCTAAACTATGAACCTAAACACAAATAGCAAATTATTAACACTTATTAGGCATCAATCACATTAAACCCTAACCATTGATCCATTGATCAACAGTAAATCAGCTAAACCCAATAGAAAATAAATCACGAATCAATACCTTTAAACCCTAACCATACAAAACTCGAATTCAAAATGAAAAACTCAAAAACCAAATTGAAAACAAAAGATCTGTGAAATTACGCATTTTTTCGTTTTTACCTTGTCGATGAATTGAAAATTCACAGTATCGGAAAAGCTGCAGATTCGAAATTGGTGAATAATTAATTGTTGGCGAAAGAGATGAGATTACGAATTCTCGGAGATAGAAGTGAGATTTTAGAGAGAGAAAAGGGAGTGTTTTAGAGAGAGAAATGCGGGTGGAATTATGAAATTTGTTTGTTTTTGCTAAGGGTTGTTTAATTGCATTCTCAGTCCCTGAAGTATTTGATATTTGTACTTTCCCCCACTCTAATTTTGAAATCACGTGTTATTGGTATCAAACTCTTTGGAGTTCGGATTTTTAGATCCAACAATGAAGAAAGGGTTTTAGGGTTTTGGACAGGACAATCTGATTCAAATTCAGAGACGCATTCGATTTCAGAAAGAAAAAGGTGATTTCGTTTCGAACAATCCACGCATTGATGTTCAGTTCATCGTACATAGCTTCAATTCGTAGGAATTTCTACATTAGGGTTTTTTCACCCACGGAAAATCCATGTCGATTTCGATTTACCCCATTTTCGTCATCTTCATCCACCTCAAAAACTGAAAATCGAAACTCGTTCGCCGTCAATTACCTGATAAACACATTAGGATTTTCGCCGGAAAAGGCCTTTTCGGCCTCCAAGTACCTGAAATTCGATTCGCCGGAGAAACCAGACGCCGTCGTCGCTTTCTTAAACAACCATGGTTTCACCGGAGATCAAATCGGAAGTCTAATTAGAAAATTCCCCACCATTATACTACGGAACCCCAACAACTCCCTTTTGCCCAAGATTCAATTTTTCCAATGTTTGGGATTCTCCGATTCTCAAGTGAAAAATATTCTCTTGTTATCGCCTTGTATTACCTGCAGGAGTTTGGATGGGCACATCAAACCAACTTTCAGCTACATAAAGAGCTTGTTCGACGCAAACGGAACATGCCTCAGCCAGTTAAAACTCGCCACCGAGGCATTGCGCTGCGACCTCGAGTCTCGATTGCTGCCCAACATCGAGGCCCTGAAGGGGGCGGGGGCCCCCTCCTCGAGAATCGTGTACTTGCTGCAGCACTTTCCGAGAGTAATTAATCAAGATTCGGGAAAATTTAGGAAAACCGTGGAGGATGTTAAGAAACTAGGGTTAGATCCGTCGAGGGTGTCGTTTGTTATAGCACTTCATGTATTAATGGTGATGAGTAAATCGGGGTGGGAGAAGAGGGTCGAGGCTTATAAGAAGTGGGGTTTCTCGGAAAACGAGATTACGGTAGCTTTTGGGAAGTTCCCTAACTTCATGACAAGATCACTAGATAAAATAACGGGTGTCATGGATTTCTTTGTTAACGAAATGGGGCTCGATTATTCTTTCGTTTTGCGTGCACCGGGGCTAGTTTCGTACAGCTTGGAGAAAAGAATTAAACCGAGATCTTTGGTTTATAAAAAGTTGTTGGAAAGTGGTTTGATCAGTAAAGGCAAGAGCTCCCGATTGGCTTCCATGTGCAAGTGCGCGGAGAAGGATTTCTTGAAGAGGTACGTGTTGTACTATGACGAAATCGCCCCTGAGCTAGTTGATATGTATCGGAAAGAATTGTTGGCTATTTCGAAGAGTAATTAAAGATTTTGCTTCTTGTAATACATTCGATTTCTGATTGGTGTTTGTTAATCTCGAAATTCAGCTATGTTTTGAAATGGAATATGCCAGAATTTGTTATTGCATTCTTCAGAAAATCTTCATTTTTATTATGTCCAAATATTGGTTCTTGTTTGCTCAGAGATAGTTAAGATTTTGACATTGACAATTTAACCAGAAAGAACTGTTTTAGTTTTCTGACCATTTTACCCCTCAATTGTTTTTGCAAAGGGTTGTTTAACTGCAATTTATTATCGCACTTCATGTATTAACGGTGATGGGTCAATCGATTGGGGTGGGAGAAGAGGGTGGCGGCTTATAAGAAACGGGGTTTTTCCGGAAAACGAGATTTTGGAGGCTTTCGGAAAGTACCCTAACGTCGTGACAAAATCACTGGATAAGATGACATCTGCCATGGATTTCTTCGTTAATGAAATGGGGCTCGATCGTTTGTTTGTTTTGAAGGTTTCGTACAGCTTGGAGAAGAGAATTAAGCCGAGGCCTTTTATAGCAAAGTACGGCCACCCCTGAAGTAAGATGAAATTACAAAAAATACCTCTTTTATTTTGGTAATTACAATCACCCTTCAAATATATATTGTCTTACGAAAACTCCCTCTTTTAATAGGTAAATTTTGGATATAAATGTAAGATAATGCAAAAATGAGGAGTTTTTCGTAATTTAATCTTATCTCATGGAATATCGTAATTTTTTGAATACTTTATAGATTGCATCATTTACATGACAGATTCCAACTTGTTTGACAATCCTATCAGTTTACGATTTAGTGGTCCAAATTAATTTTGACTTTTGAGGGACATACATGTATATACACTTAAACCTCTATAAATTAATACAATTGGGATCATCAAAATTTCATTAGTATAGCGAAATATTAACTTATCGATAAATTAATAATTATTAATTTATACATTAATTAATAATTTATTAATTTATAAAATTACTTTTATTATTATTTTCAATAAATACATTTTTTTAAAATATTCATTGTAGCATTAGTTCAATGCACTATAGAGCATGTTTCACGAGCGGAAGCTCTTAAAGCAGCAATGGTATAGAACGGTTTTATGTTGATTTATAAGAAAACTATACCGAAAGTTGTAACCATGTTAAGAAAAACGATGGACGAGATTGATCCTAATGTGAAGTTCAACAAGAAACAATTGACAATTAAATTATATTGTATTAACCTTTACCATGTATTTTAAGAATTATTTTTATGCATTATTAATTTATATATTATATGGGGCTTCTTAAATTTTTCGAATGTGTATTATCTTATAAATTTAGCGAATTATTAATTTAGCATGTTGTCCCCAAGTCGGGACCGGACAAATTTATTATTTAAGCAAAGTTATTAATTTATCGGGTATTACTTTATGGATGTTCTATTGTAGTATAATATATGAATACACATAGTATAAGGTGTAAAAGTGTGAAGGTGGGACCCAAAGATATGTTGCTGGGGGCAATAATAATAACAAAATATACGATGCGCCGACGCTTGCTAATTTGAGCACGGTTTCCCCCCCCACCCATTATCTGTCCGCCACGTATTCTATTTTTGCTGCCAAAGTCAAACTCCTCTTTTTTTACCGGTTCACTTGCTCTTCCGGTTTTTTTGTTTTTTATTTAAATTTAATTCTTTAGGTGCTGTTTGGAAGAGAGAAAAACCAAAAAACTAAATTTAGATTTTACATTTTGTTTTTATCAAAAAGGTTGCCGGTAAGGACTAAAGAATAGCATTTATTGACATTACACCTACCCACCACATTCACATGTTTTAATGAAGAAAATTATTTTATTTTTATTTTTATTTTTACTGTAATGAGATAAAAGACAATTAAATTCACTAGATGGATCGTGACCGTCATCTTCTTTAAGATCAAATATCAGCCGTTGGTTTTATTTTCACAATAAATACATCAAATGATTTATTTATTTAGAAGGGAAAAAAAAACTCCATTGTGGTATTCAATTACTCAAGTTTTTTTTTTTAATTGCCCTACAACCGAGAAGGGAATAAAAGTATAAAACCATTAGTCTAGGGGCAATTTGCTAAATACTTATGTGGACTAATAGCCTTTTAGATCAGGATGGTCGGACTTCTGCAAATTGCTAATAGTCATCTATTCTTCAAAATCGCCTTCATCTAGTTTGACTAGCCGCACTTCGTCAGATTTCGTGTAACTCCGTTGCACTTTGTCAAATCGTCTCCACCACCGCTCCTTGTCGTTGCAAACAAAGAAGCTCTTTCACACACACACACATAACACACCTTTATTATACTTACGCAACCACACACACGCGCACACATAACAATTTTGGTTACATTCATTTCACTCCGTTGTAGCATAAGAATCATGGAAACCAAAAAGGAAAAATATGAAAAATTATTCGATAATGGTGATAGTAATGTTGGTGGTTATGTAGGCACAAGAGATTAAGTTATTTTTTCGGTTTATTTTAACTAACTGTTGCTCATCAATGTAACTAAGATGTGTGATTTAACTATATAAATAAGTTTTCTAAGTTGTCGAATTAAACCAAACTTCATAGTAATATTGCATAAAATACATTTTTTTTTTACTTTTGCTCCTTAATGTAACTGATGTATGTAAATAAGCTTTCGAAGTTGTCTGCATAAGTTGCTTATGTGACGTAAGATGCATTTATCTCTCTTTAAATAACCCTATTATTATTTTGGGCCAACATTGGTCTAGTCATTAATACTAGTCAAATTTGGACTTGTATTATTAATCTGAACCGATTTTGATTTAAACCGATTCCTATTATTTTATAATCCCATGTGTATTTGATTGTACATTTTCACATACATCCACACATGTATGTGTATTTGAGTGTAGATGTAAAATTTAGTCGATGTATTCCACCGGAGTTAGCATCTACAACAAATCGCAATTTCACATATAAAAAGTAAATAAAAATTTGAAAATTGTTCTATTAACACTAACGTGGCTTGCACGCGCGAAAAGCACGTCGTTGGGCTGGCTGAAGTCACATAGTAATGGGCCTCGATGCTACGTGTCTCGCTTGCATTGGATACTATGTGTACTCTCCCCTGACTTCTGCATCAACTTTTTAATTGTCCCATTTCCTTTTATGCCATTATTATATTCATTAATAGAAATTGTCCAAAATGCCCTTTGACTAAACCTCACCATGGTGACCACTACGGTCTACATCAATTCAAATATAGCTTTGATCCACAATTTTTGTTACAAAGAATAATAAATATTCATACTTAACCATTTAACTACTAGTAACTATTTATAAACAAATTTGTTCATTAAGTGGAAATATTAAATTATCGAGCTACTAATTTAATACATTTTTATTGAGTCACGACCAGAAAAAATTACTATTTAAGTGAAATTATTAGGTTATCGAGATTCTTCTACAGATAGTAAATCTTAAAACAACAAATAGAAAAGAAAAAAAAAACCGTGGGCTGAGTTATTAAGAGGTTTAGATTAAATACAACTAAAGCATATACTATTAGTTTATAATAAAAGAAATATCCATATTTTTTTACCATAAAAGGAAATAGCTCTTTATCAACAATTAAAGGCTAACCTATTTTCTATACAAGGAAAGATTAATTTCTTTCTTATGATCACCACAAAATGGTCATCTATATAACTTTAATGGCATTTGAGTAATAAACCAATAACAATTACTTTAATTCAATTGGTGGCAAATCAAAAGTGGGATTGAAAAGTGATTCTTTTATCTATATATTTTTTTATTTTAACAATTAAATTAAACTAATACTCTTTTATTTTTCTGAATTAAGTTTTGTGGGTAATGAATTACTACAGTAGAACCTCGATAAATTAATAATATCGCTTAAATAATAATTTATCTCAGTTCTTACTCGGTGTAAAGGTACTTAATTACTAGTTCGATAATTTAATATTTCGCTAAATTAATAAGATTTTACTAGTCTCGGCTGGATTAATTTATAGATGTTTAATTTAACTATATTAAATATATTCACATGTTTATGTGTGTATAGTATGAAATTTGTCCCACACTTAAAAGGGCAAATTAGTCATTAAACCACATGCAAATAACCGCCTCATAAGCCACAACAAAGAGTGGGGATTAATGTACTAAGCGCGTAATAAAACTGTCAAAAAACAGACAAACAAAAAGAAATAAGCTCAGAAAATCGAATAAAATAAAATAAAATAAATAAAGCAAACAAAAAGACGAAACAAATAATATAATATAATATAAATTAATAAAGAAAAACGCACAAAAAGTGCACAAAAAATCTCACACACACAGTGAGTGTGAAATATATAAAACCGCAGTGTGTGTGAAAAAAAAGACCACTGGAAAGTAGAAAACTTCTCTCTCCTCCGTCTCTCTCTCTCTCTCTAAAACCACCAAACCCCTCTCTCGATCAAACCCCTCTCTCTCTCTCTCTCTCTCTCTCTCTCTCTCTAGCACAATCACACAGAACTGTGCGTGATTGTGTCTATACCTCTGTATATTCCCCTCTGCATATTTTTCAAAATACTTGTTTTGTATAAAATATTTATATTTATACCGGCCGATATATATATATATATATTTGTAGAGAGAGAAAGAGTGTGTGTGTGTGTGTGTCTGCGTTTTGTTTCTGTGAGTGGGAATATATGGAGAGGTACGGTGGGACCCAGGCAATGGAGGCAGTGCAGGTGGATCCGGTGGCGGAATGGGCCGACCCGGGCGGAGAGACGGGGCTCGAAGGTGAGTCGCATTTGAATTTCATCTGAATTTCGGTTGAATTTCAGTCGATTTTTGGTGTTTTTATGTTTAAACTGAGCTGAACTCGAGCTTCTGTAAATGTTGATTTATCAAATGTTTGATGTCTGTTAATTCTTGAATGCAGAGCCTATGTGGCAATTAGGCCTCGGAGGCGGGCCCGAATCGTACCCCGAGAGGCCCGATGAGCCCGATCGTATGTATTATTTGAGGATTGGTTTCTGTAGATATGGCAATAGGTGCAGGTTCAACCATCCTCGTGTCCGTAGTATGGTAAAGCTCCCTTTTTTTTTCGGCAAGATCGAATTTTTTTGTCTGTTGTTGTGGCGATTGTTTGTTAAAGAGCGTAAATTAGAGATGTTTGGTGTCGATCTTGATTGGTAATTTGGGGGAAAAATGGAATCTTTCTTGATTCGATGGGGAATCTGTGGCTTTTAGAAGCGAAGTAGAATCGGGAAAATTGTTAAATTAGGATGCTTTTACATGAATTGGTTAAGCATGCATTGAGTTGAATTAGTGGGATTTGGGGTCAAAATCGTGTCTTGTTTTAGTTGACCGGACGATCAAATCGATATGGTGTGCATGCATTGAAGATAACTAGTTGGGTTCTACACGATTTGATGTTAAATTCTAGTAAAAATGGAGTCTTTGTTCTTTTAGTGAGGGTTATAAATAAATTGGGAAGTGATATAGAAGTAGAGGGTAAATTGGGAAAAAAAACGTAAAAAATTTAGTAATCGTATGAATTTGTTGAACATGCATTAAAGCAATGTGGCTTCGCTTTTATGATTTAGGTAATGGGAGCTTTAAGAGCTGGTGGAGGTGAGTACCCAGAACGTGTCGGCCAGCCTATCTGTCAGGTATCCACTTAAATGTAAATTTGGGCGTATATGAAATGTGTAAAGTTGCGTGTATATGCAATGTAACCGCAATTTCTACGTAAAAAACGTGATCGCTTTAATGTGGTAGTATACTTAATGTCTTCATTGGTTTCTTGATGTTGCGAAAACATTGATATCCGAAGTGCTGCCTGAAATTAACATATCTCGTGTTGGTTTCAAAATGGTTTTCGTTTTTTTACCTTGCACGATTTCTAAAGTTGGCGTTGACGATGCTTATGCTAACTCGGCAGTACTTCTATAGGTTTAATTCTTGGAAACGAAAGTGTATTTTCTCTGTAATGCTAATATACCGATTCATGTGCTCCATTTTTCGCTCTTCAAACGACTCCTCTGTTTAAGTATGCTGTGCTTGTTAATTACTTCGTTTCTATCCTCTCGATTTTTGGAAGACTAAGCACTGTTTTATTATCCATGGTGCTTCGTCTGGTTATTGTCTCTTACAAGATGTGATTTCCCGAGTATAAAAAAAAGGGGGTTTAGCATCGAGCATTTATATCTCTGTTCCATATTACGCTGTCACGAGCATCAAGCATTTAATCTTTACAATATTGAATTACTTGCACTTGAGGAATTGAAGTGCCGTCTACTTCTTAATCAACGTTCGATTCGTTGTAGTACTACATGCGGACTGGGATGTGCAAATTCGGTACTTCCTGCAAGTACGACCATCCAAAGCACGGACTTGGATCTTCGGCTCCAGCCGGACTGAACTTCTATGGATACCCTTTAAGACCGGTTCGACTCTTGCAAAAAAATAATTTTTTTATTTATTTTTTCGTATGGATACTAATAGAATCCCGTTTGCAGGGGGAAAAAGAATGTTCGTATTATGCAAAAACAGGGCAGTGCAAATTCGGTGTCACCTGTAAATATCATCACCCCCAGCCATCAGGGATACAAATGCCGCAGGCCCCCCAACCCCCTGGTCCCGGCGGCCCTTTTGCGGGTCCCACGCAACCAGTTTATCCAACTGGACCATCTCCTTCGATTCAATCTTCTCAACAGTACAGCGTAATTCAAGGCAATTGGCCTATCGCCAGGCCTGCCATGCTTCCCGGTTCGTATGTTCCCGGAAATTACGGTCCGATGCTCCTCCCTCCAGGTGTCGTTCATGTTCCTGGTTGGACTCCTTATCAGGTATGTCATATGTGTAGCTGCAACTTTTTCGTTCGATCTCGAGATTTTGTAAATTGTTAGGGCCTCGTTTGGTTACCAAGATAAGATTTTTTTTATTTTTTATTTTGGCTAAATTCTGGACGTTTCTTGGTACAGACACCTGCTAGTCCTCTGGCCTCCTCAAGCAATCAACCCCCAGTTGGTGGGGCCCAAATCTACGGAATTACACAGCTCTCTTCTTCGGCAACTGCCTATGCGGGCCCGTACATGCCTATTACTTCTGCCGGCCAGTCAAGTAGCAGTCAAAAGGAACACGCGTTTCCGGAAAGACCCGGTCAACCAGAATGTCAATATTATTTGAGGACCGGCGACTGTAAATTTGGTGCTACGTGTAAATATCACCATCCATCGGAGTGGAGTGTGCCGAGGGGCAATTTCGTACTTAGTGCAATGGGTCTGCCGTTGCGCCCAGTAAGCACATTCACTTCTCTCTCTCTCTCTCTCTCTCTCTCTCTCTCTCTCTCTCTCTCTCTCTCTCTCTCTCTCTCTCTCTCTCTCTCACACACACACACACACACACACACACAAATATATTTAATTTTCGACGAAATTTAAACTATTCATTGTTGAGAGTTGCGCCTTTCGTTTATGAAGATTTTTCACGAACTACTTTTTCCAGGGTGCGCCTCTTTGTTCTCACTATGCACAAAACGGAATGTGCAAATTCGGACCCTCGTGCAAATTCGATCACCCGATGAAAACTCTGAGCTACAGTCCTTCAGCATCTTCCCTGACCGACATGCCAGTTGCTCCTTACCCAGTGGGGTCCACAAACGCAACTCTGGCTCCATCATCCTCGTCATCGAATTTAAGGCCCGAGATTCTCTCTACATTCAGCAGAGACACCTTCTCATCACAAATCTCTTCCATTAAAAGTTCGAGCGCGTCAGTCGGCTCTATGCTCTCAAAAAGCGGGCCCATTACTCAGTCGAGCGTTCATCACTCCGCACAGGGCTCGATTTCTTCAAGTGGCGGCGGCAGTGGCAAAACTCCAGCCGGTGCATAATCAAAGCTAAAATCGAAGGATTAAGTTATTGGTGAAAATCTTTCGGCAAATTTCTTGATCCTTTTTAGAGCAGCTGTAGTTATGTCGATTTTCCGTGTTTATAAATACCATCACTCCCATGGGCCAATCATCATCATCTCCGAATAAGCCATACATCATCCCTCGAAAGATCTCTTGCAAAACCCTAATCTAGCTCTTTTTTTGGAATAACAAGAAACCGAAACCAAATCAAAACTCGAAACTCCCGTCTAGGCTATATTTTGTATCACTGCGCGCTCCAATTTTACTTGGAGCTTGTTCTTGTTCCTGTTGTTGTTATTGTGTCTATTTATGATATATCTTTTTCGGAACGGAAAAGATTGTTATTATAACATCCTCGTACCATTTCTCGACCGACCGATCGACGTGGAATTTGCTGTCTGTGTACAAGTCGTCCGTCTTTTGTCGAGCTTCACAAGTTGACTATGTTCTTCTTCTTCTTCTTCGATCTTCCCCCATTTTTGTCTGGGGGATTTGTTGTGGAGCCAATTAATTATATGTTATAAACTAATAGAAGCAAATTTTATTTTGCTGTCTCTCTCTCTGTATTTATTTAAGAATATGCACTTTGTCTTGTTAAATATTAATTTGCTTGGAATACAATGCTTTTTTATTTTTTTCCCCTTTTTTCATAAATAATTATTAGAAAAATACATCAACCTTATATATCTATATCTATATATATACATATACACACACACAGTGAAGCTTACAATTACACCCTATATATTCTTTTTATTTCCAATTGTTATCTTGAGCAACATTAATCAACTGTGACAAACATTTGACAAGACAGTGACTCTCTCTCTCTCTCTCTCTCTCTCTCTCTCTCTCTCTCTCTCTCTCTCTCTCTCTCTCTCTCTCTCTCTCTCTCTCTATCTATATATATATATATATTTGGGTACGTACTAATTAATGTGATATATATATATATACATGCATGATGATGGCATTTAGATATTCCTGTCTAAATCCAATTTTACTATTTTTAGTCAAGAAGCAATCTCGTTGATGTATATATGAGTTATCACAGTCACATGTAATAATTCTATATATATTACTATATATTTATAGTCAATTATAAGTTATCTCTCATGGATATATGTGTGTATATACATATATCAGTTATCTCAGTTACCTGCATTGAGAATTCAAAAAAAGGTTCAATCTTGCTTGAGATTTGACTAGTACTAGGGTTGCAAGTCGAACGGATCGGATATATCGAATTTTAGTTCCGAATAAAAACTTCCATTATTTTTTTTATGGGAACTAAATTACACATGATAGTAAATATATTAAGTGCATGCAGCATATATATATTCACATGCATATATATATATTGAAGAAAACCCTAGTCTAAAAACAAATATAAATGCATAAAGAAATGCAAAAAAAAGGGAAAAATAAATAAATTATCAAGATTGAAGAAGAAGAAGAAGAAGTTAAGATAAATATATAAATAATAATAAAAATGAGTAGTAATTAATACCAATATATCAAAAAAGAGAATGACCGATGACGTGATCAAGTGATGAATCCCCAAAACTAGTGGCTGCTGGATCCATCATCATCATCATCATTTCATCAAAACTAATTATATTATCATTATTATTATTATTATTATTATTTTGATCACACATTTGATTATTATTAATATTATTATTGTTTTGAACCATGAATGAATATTGCTCATTAATCATGGCTGTAAGCTCACATGATGAGTTAGAACTCATCGTCGTCTCCTCCTCCCCCCACGTGTAGCACTGCTGCTGGTGGTCCCACATCAACCCACAGTGGGCCCCACCACCAAGTTCTTGAAGATTATAATCCTCGTACATTGTCATCGGATTATTATTATTATTAGCATTATTCTCCGATGACGAAACCCTCTTGCTAGAAGAAGGGTTCAGGCAGTTATTAGGGACAATGCAGTCCAGCAAATACCCAGAATTCGTGCTGTCATGTGAATGACACGTGTCGTTCTCTGGTTGGACAACCGGCTGTGGTATCGGCGGCGGCGGCGGCGGCTTGGTTTGTTGTTGTGGTGGGGGCGGCGGCGGCTGATGGAGAGGATTATGGAACTGGTCGAAAGGGTTCCAAATGAGGGAGTGGAAAGTGGTGTTGTGGTCGGTGGTGTATATGAAGTTTGTTCTTGCTTGTGTGCCCTTTATCGACAGCGCCGCCCTGTCGTACGCCAGCGCCGCCTCCTGCGCCGTGTCGAACGTGCCCAGCCAGTGCCGCTCCTTCGTCGTGAGGTCCCTTATCTCCGCCGCGTACCGGCCCCAGGGCCGGCGGCGGACC